AAGCTGGAATTGACATGAGCTTGCTTGACAACAAAGGAAAAATACAGAAATGTTTACAAATGGCTACAAAGAGTTTTGAACTTGTGATTAAAGAAGCACTTTAAAATCTACATACTAACTACATGTTAACTACATACTAACTACATACTAACTACTATTATTAATATTCTGAAATTAGAAATACCTGGGCTTGAAAATGTGAAAACAGAAGGGGAAGGTGTTCCTGAAAAGTATAGGGAGGGGTTCTTTCAAAAACAAACAGTTACATGTAGACTGTGCAATGCATAACACAAGCATGTAAATTTAGCTCAGCTATGTGTGATCTACCAGATGTAGTTTAGCACTCACACCATAACCATAATCCTGTTAGTATTAAAATTAAAAGTTGCTTTACTTTTAAGTAAAACTAATAATAATAATAACAGTAATAATAATAACAACAGACCGTGTTAATGAACAGAGTTATTTTAAACCTGCAACATGCTTTCCAGCTGAAATATGCAAAGTCCTAGTTCAGCCATTGTGGGTTTGAATATTTCTCTCATTCTATAATCCTGCATGAGCTTTACAAATACACAAAAAGCATCTTCCTCAGGCATCTACAATATAAAAAAATAAAGTTTTAACATTATCTTGTACAAACATGTAAATGTATGATACAAAAAAAAAACAAAAAAACAATTATAACACACTAGCCAACAAAATGAAAGAGTTACCTGCATAAGCAATATGCCAACTATGAATGCACTACCTTGACAATATCCCACTTCCTTATCCCACACAGAGTATGCCTAATTAAATAGAAAGCAAAATAAAGAACATGCTGGTAATATTGGTACGTCAAGCTTTACAAAATTTTCTAGTCAAGTTAACCCTACAGTGTGACATCTCTGAATCAAACAGGAAGGTCACAAGAATAGACTGCAGAGGAAATAATCACCAACTAAATAAGCTCTTGAATGTTGAACAAATTCTCCTCGTCAGCAGATTAGGAAATGTGTGGAAGGCAGCAAGGAGAATATGCAAACTGATGTCAGGGTAGAAAGGGTTAAATTGCTTATACGTGGTGGAAAGTAGAAGAAAAATGTGGAAACAACTTACAACAGTTTCCATAAAATCTTTATAAATTTTATTTATTCACAGGAAGCATGAAACACCATCATCAGACCAGCAAACCTCCACTGAGTCAATGATTTAGTAGCACATATTATAATTTGGTAACACCAGTCTCATGTTTACATTAGACATATTAGGTTGGAAATAAGTAGCAGAACTGGAAAAAATGTTTAATTGGTCTGGCATAAACTTAAGACAAATAGTGTTAACACACATGTTTACCTTGATAACATTATAAAGAGTTCCTTGACCAATACCATCTTTATCTTTAAAGAATGAATGATCAGGAAAGGTTCTTGCAATATCTCGTTTTATCATCCGTTCACATGCTGAATTGCTCTGAAATTACATGAGAAAATTTAAATATCAAACAGAGACTTCTTTTAAAACTGATACATCAATTGATCAACTAAAAAGAAAGGAAATTGCAAGTAAGCTGATAGTTGTAGCTTGCCAACCAAACAATAAAAAAAAATAATAAACTTGCTTCCTTGAACTCAGTCACCTTAGATATCTTGCAAACTTGAATTAAAGGACATTTTCCTTGATGCCCATTTCCAGCAGTAATGTTTACTTTTAGTAAATCCAAACTGCTTTTTATTCCCTTTGCTTTTTGAGTTAGTGGGATTACTGCAGCTTCACAGTTTTTCATGATAAACCGAAGCATCTAAATATAGGAAGCCTTACATAATGTACATATTATGAAAATCATTTTATAGTTAAAAAAGTCCTGACATATACCAAGATATTCCTTAAGAATTATTCCAAAAGTGTCAATAAGCAATATGATTTTAAAGAGTTGTGAAACAATTTACTACTTAACACTACAATTCAATTATCAATCGATTGCTGCTGAAAGAAAAATACGGTCAGATGCCATGCATTTGCAGGAAATTATTCACTATACTCACATTACAACATTACAAGTGACTGCAACTAACCTTAATAAGCTGGGGGTACTGATCTCTAAGGGGAGAATCCCTTGCTTCACAAAGTAACTGCCATACCATCCCACGCAATGCATTAGGAACACCTCGCCTAACCATATCTCTGATAAACTTTGGTTTCTTCCTCTGAGAATCAGACCAATGGTTAATGAGTTGTCCCCATTGGTGATAAGTGTCTGCTTCGCCACACAACTCATCATGGTTGTCTGGTGTCTCTGGACTGTCACATGTAGCATCTAGAGAGTTACTTCCTGTACTGCATGCTGACCATCTCTTATTGCCAAGGCTTGGAGATGCTCCATCTGGGATGGTGGTCAGTGCCTTAGAATCACTGCTCAACAACCTAAAAGAGTGATAAAATTTTTACTGTTAACCTCATGAAATGGTCCTAAATTAATGTGATACATTATTACTTAAAGTGGAAATTTTGAAGCACTTCATTAAAACACTGAAATATCTAGGCCAGGCATCATATGCTAAATGTGCATGTATGCTGGGAAGATTCATGGCTGCCGTGGAAATAAATCTGGGATGTAAATTGGTGTGTATATGCAAATGACATTTTCCAGAGATTTTTTGCATGGGGTAAAATCATATGATATGACATTCTTCAGATTTATTTTAAATTAAGTTGATATATAACACATTTGTAAAAATGCAAATATGTCTGCAATCATAAAATAATAATAAAAAAAAATGATCACAAAATTGAATAAAGATTTATCAATTCAAATTTAACATTCACTATGTGAGAGCCATCAGATTACATCCTTTTCCTAATCAAGAATCACTTTTTGCCATGATAACAAATGATAAATATTTATAGGCACAGGTAATTTAAGAAGGAAAATTCATGACCTATTTTTCATTTTACTTTTCCTCATGTTACTCTTTCTTAATTGATCACATGCTTCATTTGACTGCCTACGCAATACCGAAAACAATTACAATCAGGCCTTTTCACACAGCTGTAATATTTCAGATTGAAAAATATGCAAATTTTGAACCCAATTGACTGTTTTATTTGTTATCTAATCAATGACTCACTAGTGCGTTCACTTAGTTAGCTATAAGAACTTGTAGAGTTAAAAGTATCTGCTTCATAAACAAATAATCATTATTTGAAAGGTTCCTTTTCTTTGATATACTTTTACTTCAACTTAGCGCAATATTTTGGCCGCTTGAGTAATACTATCATAGGAGCTTCACGTGCCGGAAATAAAGTCACAGGAATAGTAGAGCTTGCCAAAAAAAAGTCCACAAAGATTAAGCAAAAGTGATATGAATAATCTTCAGGTCGATAGATGAAGAATGCATCTTGAAGGCTCTGTTTTCGATATAGGGGGGCAGTTTTTTCACCTCGATTAATGGTCACAAAACATTTCTGATATTGTAACTCAATGTACACATTAACATACTTTGTGGCAATAATTTTCAAACAGTATATATATATATATATATCTCAAAACATCAAGGGTAAAAATAAACATCGCAAATTTTAAGTACTCACTCACACATATTTTAAATTGCCGTCGTTTTATTCACACAAAAAAAGAAAGTAATAAATCTCAGCAATCCTGTGAAGACTCACCTGTTCTGTTCCTCTAAATGAGCCAAAAGTTCGTCCACTGACTTTGTTCGCGACTTCGAGCGTGGCGGAGGTTTCAAGGTTTCCGGAACACTTCCATCCTCTAATTCTCCTTTTGAACTGTTATCCATGATGTTAATTACAGCAGTCTTTTCTGCAACTCTCCTTATAAACAGACGAAGCTGCCATTAACTCAATGGCGAATTATGGTGGCAGAACTGTCACAGCTGATCTCGGAGGCAGGCTGTAACAACAAAACATGATCTTTTTTCTCTTCTAAGTCGTCACGTTTTGAATGTACAAAAACTCAAATAATCGAGCGAAGAATCGTTAAATGCTAGTTGAAATAAAGTATCCGTTCAGCGAGCGAAGGGTCAGAACAGCTTTTCCGAGCACAGACCGTTTCAAAAAGTAACAATCACAACACACAACTGCACAGCAAGACTCTCAAATTTTGTAGGAACTTGACTTCAATTCAGCGGTCGTCCGTCTGAACGCATGAATTTTTATGTGCTATCAATGATCGACAGGGATCAAAATCATCTGCGCATGCGTCGCCTGAGCATGTTGTTGTCGGTGGTTGGCGAGTTGTTCGATCGTTCGATCAACGAAATGTCGGAGCAATTTAAACTGCGCATTCGTGGTTATATTTTGCCTTTCAGACTGGAATGTAAGGACGCTATTTGAAAATAACTTCTGCAAACTGAACTCGTCGACATGTTGAACGTATTATTTTTGGGAAATGTTTATTTGCTTGCACAAGAGCCAACTTTCAGAACTCGGTAAGGAAACACTGCAAGCTTAATTTCTTTTAGTATAATTTATCTCCATTTTAGATAATAAGCTAAGATTCAAATTGATAGAGGGTAAATAGTACCGTGATTTGGTAATAAATGTGAATCTCGAAGAAAAATGGAACTTTTTATCAAGGCGAAGCGAAAGCACACCGATCCTACACGGTGTTACATGAACAATTGCAAATCAAAAACGATGCAAACTATCGCGTTACCCCATGCATATCGCTCTCACTGGAACATAACATTCGTTACAGTCCTAAGAGTGTATTGGAAATTAGTTATTTCCATATGGTATGAGAGGAGACCCTATGAATGCTGCCACTCAGCAAAAGCCACATGAAATCCATTCTTCTCGTAGAAACCTTCCTTCCTTCCTGTTTTTTGAAACCTTCCTTCCTTCCTTTATGTTAATGGCGTTAAACTTAACTTAACATAATCAGCCACTACCCACAAATAGTATAGCTAGTCTCGGCGGGCAGTGTGTGGACGCTAAAACATCTTACATAAATTTCGGTTCAACAAAAGATTCAATAAATATACAAGAAACAGAAATTAAATATTAAATCATTAATTTAAAAGCAGAAATGACATTATGAGATAAAAATACAGAAATAGAAACACATGACAATAAATAGAAGAATACATAAGTTATACACTACTATTAACTGGATTTAACTTTTGACACATCATTGATTATTTGTTCTCCGTCAACATAACTATCTTGAACTTGAAGATTTTGTAAGCAGTGATATGGATGTGGATGTGCTATCAAAAAGAAAACTTCCTGGGAAAGGTGGAATAAGTATAATGGTGTAGGAACTCAAATGAAAACAGAAGCCGGAATTGTTTCAGGATTCATGCTGACAGGGAGTTTAGGACCAATAGTGGTATGGTTGATGACTATTGTTCAGTGATTTAGGGTCTTGGAGAGGTTGTAGCACACCAAAGGTTTGAGGAGTTTTGTGTGATTGAATCACAGATCCCGTTGCCTAGTAAGATATTCCGTGAACAATTATCTGGTACACCCACACCTGACTCAGTTGACTGCTTATTACAGAAATATCCACTTTGGATGAATAAATCAGTTTGATAAACAAAAGGGCAATAAGTGTACATGAGTTGCTTCCTGTTCTGCCAATAACTGTTGACTGTAAAATAGTGCTAAGAAAGAACCAGAAAGTGACATTGTCATGTTGATGTGGTTGGATAGAATTTTTTTTTACCTTTTTAAGAAAGAAAAACTTTTTTTTTAAAAAAATGCATTCGATTTATCTAGCAACCTTTGTGGTATTACATGTGTAAAAGTATGGAATTCCAAATGAAAGGGTTCCCAAATCTCCACAAAAATAGTGGGTTATTAAGGGGAAAGGAAGCGTGAGGGTGGCAAGAGTTGAAAGTGTGAAATGATGAAAATACAATGTTTGTTGTTCGATTGACGGATTCATGTTGACGTCATTGTTTACATTTTTGCCCATTCGCATACGGCTTTGCATAAAGAAGGAAGCATGTTAGATACAAATTGACTTCAGGCAGCTAAAGAGCTAGAAAACCTTAGTACACGGTGAAAATTTTAGCTCTTTGGGTGTAATATTCAAGGAGAAATAGTCCAAAAACTGCAAAATTTCTGGGTGGCAAAAGTGCTAATGAGCTCATACATTCTATGTAAAATTTTGAGGTTTTAAACCCGTGTTGCACAAAAAGTATTCTATGCATCAGGCTCGTATTCATTGGCTGAGTTAATCGTACTTTGACCTTTCGATGTTCAGAACTGATTTATTTTTAGCTCCATCAGAAACTGAATTGCTTATGCTAATGAGGCAAATATTGTAAACAAGGATTCCCCTATAGAGAAGTTGCACTGAGGGACCTACAAACTGCAAGGCAGTTATGTCAGTCATAAGGCAGCATTAAAATATAAACTATCAGTAGTTCAAATGGATACTAGCATTGAAGGTCCACACTTTCACAATTTTATGTTGTTTGCTTCTATATCTACAAGGTATTCCTTTGACCTGCTGATAGTTGGTCAAATTTTTCTTAACTTACTATAACTACACTTCAAATAAAATGAAAATGAAGAAATACAAGACAAAAAGATGCACAAGAAAAGAAAAAAAAGGAAAATGAAAGATTTTCATTGTAAAGGACTCCATAAAGGAATCTTTAGTCTCTAGAAAATTGGAAAGCCCTTT